TTTATAAATAATAAGAGGTTTAATGGACTGACAATTCCACGTGCCTGGGGAAGTCCCACAATCGTGGCAGAAGGCAAAAGGCACCTCTTACATGGCAGCAGGCAAGAAAAAATGAGAGCCAAGCAAAAAGGGAAATCTCTTATCATACCATCAGATCCCTTGAGATTTATTCACTACTGTGAGAACAGAAGGAGGGAACCACCTCCTTGATTCAATTGTCCCCCACTGGATTCCCTCCCACAATGCATGGGAATTATGAGAGCTACAGTTTAAGATGAGATTTGTGTGGGGACACAGCCAAACCATATCAAGGGGAAAAGCATAAGAATTCCTAAGAATGAATGAATGAATTCCTCCTTCCCTCCCTCCCTTTATTCCTTGCCTTCCCCTTCCCTTTCCCCTTCCCCTTCCCTCCCTCCCTCCCTTTCTCATTCCTTCCCTCCCTCCCTCCCTCCCTCCCTTTCTCATTCCTTCCCTCCCTCCCTCCCTCCCTCCCTCCCTCCTTCCTTCCTTCCTTCCTTCCTTCCTTCCTTCCTTCCTTCCTTCCTTTTCTTTCAAGGCAGGGTCTTGCTCTATTGTCCAGGTTGGAGTGCAGTGGCATGATCACTGCAGCCACAATCTCTCCAGCTCAAGCAATCCTCCTGCCTTGGTCTCCTGAGTAGCTGGGACTAGAGGTGCACACCACCATGACTGGCTAATTTTTTTCTTTTTTAGTGCAGACAAGGTCTTACTAGGTTGCCCAGACTGGTCTCTAACTCTGAGGCTCAAGTGATCCTCCTGCTTTGGCCTCCCAAAGTGCTGGGATTACAGGTGTGGACCACCATGCCTGGCCTAGAATTTCTAAACACAAACTCATACTCACTCTGATTTAAAACCAGAATTCATAAGAGTTGAGTGGCCAAAAAAAGCTGAGAATTTAAAGTCGTCTTGGGTAGAGTAAGAGAATCAGTAAAAAAAAATATAATTAATCCAAACTGAAGAAACAACAGATAGAAGAATTATTAGACATAGAATGTAAAATGAGTATGTTTAAACTTAAAAATAAAATAGGACATTTTTGAACAGCATTAATTATGACTAAAGAATAAGAGGTTGAAAAAGAAACAGGTAGACTTGAAAAAGTAAAACCTCTAAAAATTAAAAAAAGGATAGTAATAGAAATTAGATATTCCAGATGAATTAAAAGCAGATTATACATAGATGTCTGTGTGTAGATTCATGTCTACATGAGCTCATCTATATATAGGCAAATACTTCTGAAAACATTTTTAGAATGCTGCATGGAGAGATGAAAAATATTAGAGACTGAGATATAAGACAAAGTAAAAAATAAAATTTTATCAGAGTTACAGAAAGAGATACAGGATAGGGCAGAGGTAATATATGGAGACAAAAGGGACTAATTAGGTTTCAGAATTAATTAAGATATGAATCATCAGATTCAAGAAGTTCAGTGAATCTCAAATAAGATAAAAAGAAATCCTTACCACTGGGTGTGGTAGCCCACACCTGTAATCCCAGCACTTTGGGAGGCTGAGGCAGGAGAATCATTTGAGACCAGGAGTTCAAGACCAGCCTGAGCAATATGGTGAGGCTTTGTTTCTACAAAAAAAAAATAATAATAATAATAATAAAAATAATAAAAATTAGCCAAATATAGTGGCGCACACCTTTGGTTCCAGTTAGGAGGCTGAGGTGGGAGGATACCTTGAGTCTGGGAGATGGAGGTTAAAGTGAGCTGAGATCACACCACTGCACTCCAGCCCAGGGCAGAGAGTGAGACTCTATCTCAAAAACAACAACAACAACAACAACAACAACAAAAATCCACACTAAGAAAATCAAAGTGAAGCTGTCAAAACCAAAGGCAAAGAGAATATTGTAACCAACTAAAGAGAAAAAAACAGATAAACTTACAAAGAAATGACAAATCTTGTTGTTGACTTTTCAACAGCAACAGTTGCAGCCAGCAAATGGCATTATGTTTTCAAAGTGCTGAGCTAAAGTAATTGTCTACTTTTAACTTTATGCTGTTAAAGGGAAAAAATTATTCAATGACACTTGTTAAAGATGGTAAGGCAGACTTTTTCCAGGAAAAGGGGGACTATCGCAGTAGGTATAGGCACCACTGTGATGGGATTTTGCAGTCGGGGAGACAGAGATTGAGCCCAACTCTGAATACCACCTGGGCGAGTGAGAATTTATAGCCAGGGAGAGGGTAGAGGCTAGCAGATGAAAATGACTTAGAGAAAACATCAGGGGAAGGGGATGCTGGCTAAGCCATTGTGACAAGCTTCTTGCTGAAGGCAGGCTGGGTTGATGAGACACCACCTGTGAGATGGTGGAGCATGAGGAACCCAAACAGACACTGAGGGTGATCAGATATCAAGGATGGGAGATTCTAGCTAAACTGACTTAGCAGAATTCTTGCCAAAAATTAGACAATTCAGAGACAAACACGGAAGTCTAAAAGTCAAGACCTACTTGAAAAAGACCTCAGGGAAGCCCGACCAAGGTTTTGTTAAAGAGAGAATCTTTGTTAATACCTAGCAAAATTACCTTACAGAAATAAGCTCTGAGTAAAGATCTGTATCTATAGGTATAGATATATATATCTATATATACGCATATATACATACATATAGATATCTATATAGACATACATCCATCTATCTCTGTATATGTGTATATAGATAGTTGAGATAAGGTCTCACTCTGTCACACAGACTGGAGTACAGTGGCATGATGCTGGTTCACTGCAGCCTCCGCCTCCTGGGCTCAAGTGATCTTCCCACTTCAGCCTCCTGAGTAGCTGGTACTGCAGATACACGTTACTACACTTGGCTAATTTTTTTATTTTTTGTAGAGATGGGGGTCTCACTATGTTTCCCAGGCTGGTTTCAATCTCCTGAACTCAGGCAATCTGCATATCTCAGCCTCCCAAAGTGTTGGGATTACAGGCAGAAGCTGCAGTGCCTGGCCTGAGTAAATATTATCTGACAAGCAAGTTGCTCATTAAAGAAACTTCTCAAGAATGGACTTTAGGAAGATGAAAAACAAACTGACAAGGAAGATTCGAGATACAAAAGGGAATTGCAAGCAAAAAAAAAAAAAAGAAGAAGATAAACAATGACAGTATGTAATTATAACAATGTTTGCAGGACTAACCTTTGTATGACTAAAAATGCAGTTTGTGGGGCTAAACATCCAACAAGATAGAAGTAAAGTAATAACATAAGCCAGAAGAGGAGTGGTTCATGTTGAAACATCTTAAGGTTCTTAAGACTGTTCAGACGGAGAATAAAGACACTGATTACTTTTTTTAAAAATTACACTTTAAGTTCTGGGGTACATGTGCAGAACGTGCAGGTTTGTTACATAGGCATACATGTGCCATGGTGGTTTGCTGCACCCATCACCCCATCATCTACATTAGGTATTTCTCCTGATGCTATCCCTCCCCTATCCCCCACCCCTTGACAGGCCCGAGTGTCTGATATTCCTCTCCCTGTGTCCACGTGTTCTCATTGTTCAACTCCACTTATGAGTGAGCACATGCAGTGTTTGGTTTTCTGTTCCTGTATCAGTTTGCTGAGAATGATGGTTTCCAGCTTCATCCATGTCCTGCAAAGGACATGAACTCATCCTTTTTTATGGCTGCAAAGTATTTTATGGTGTATATGTGCCACATTTTTTTTTATCCAGTCTATTATTGATGGGCATTTGGGTTGGTTCCAAGTCTTTGCTATTGTGAATAGTGCTACAAGAAACATACCTGTGCATGTGTCTTTATAGTAGAATGATTTATAATCCTTTGGATATATACCCAGTAATGGGGTTGCCAGGCCAAATGGTATTTCTGGTTCTAGATACTTAGGAATTGCCACACTGTCTTCCACAATGGTTGAACTAATTAACACTCTCACCAACAGTGTAAAAGCGTTCCTATTTCTCCATATCATGCCAGGCCCAAGATAGGGATTTCTTAATCAAGATCTCAAACTGCAAAGCACTTAGTGAGACTTGATAAATTTAGCTATATTAAAACCGAGATTCTTTCTGAAATGGCCGCAGAAAGACAAACCACAAACTGGGGGAAGATACCGGCAACATAAATAATTCACAAAAAATTACTATCTTGAGTCTATAGATAACTAAAAATAAATTATAAAAAGTCAAACAACTCAAAAGATAAGTTAGCAAGAGTTGTGTTTCATTGTAGACAAAAACATAATTAACCAAAAAACAGACAAAAAGAGGCTCAACATACCTAGTAATCAGAAAATATAAATTAGTAATCACATGTGACACCTTTATACCTATCAGACTGGCCGAAAGAAAAAATAGCAATCTTAACAAGCCCACAATACCAAGTGTTATGACGCGGAACAAGGAGGGCTTACCCACTGCTGGTGGGACTCTAAATTGCTATAACTACTTAGTAAAACAATTTAGCATTATCTATAAAGTTAAAGAGGAGTGTTTCCTACGTCCTAGCAATTCTGATTCTAGGATATGCCCTAGAGAAACTCTCACTCACATGCACAAGAAGAAATTCCCAAGAACGTTTATAGCTGTACCAATGGTTATTAGGGAGAAAAGGGAGCAACACGAACGTTCAGCTCCAGGAAAATGAATAAATCGTGTTCATTAAATTGCATTTAATGAAATACTGTATTCAGCTGTAATATTTAATGAATGACAGCTATATTGCTGAGCATGGATAAATCCCTCAAATGTAGTGTTACATTAAAAAAATAGGTTATAGAAGAATTCCTACAATATGATCCAATTATGTAAAGATTCAAAAGCGGCAAGACTAAAGCAATTGGTCAAATAAGCTTTAACTGTTACTGTATAATCTGTACTTTGTAATACCTGGCAGTTGCATGGTTCGTTAAGCTTCAGGCTAACAGAAAATTAAGCATTAACTATGGTGCCAAGTTAAAAAAAATCTGTGAAATCAAAACCCTTAAAATTCGCCTAAGAAATTTTAACAAATACCCGTGTAGAAAATCAGAACGACTCTTTCAGGCCATCTTTAAAACATCATGGTAAACCATACTTGATCCTAAATTCCTGTACTTCCTCAGGCCACCCGAGCATGAAACGCTGTCACCTACCCACATCCGCTGGCTGTGACGCTTGTCAAAGTGTTTTTTATCGGCTGCATGCCTAGACCACCAAGGCGTTCTGTCAGGACAGTGTCACTGGAGAAGGCGGCACGACATGTCCAGAGCGCAGATCTGGGGTCTGGTGTCTGGTGTCGGAGGGTTTGGAGCTCTCGTCGCTGCCACTGCGTCCAATGAGTGGAAAGTGACTACGCGGGCCTCCTCGGTGATAACGGCCACTTGGGTTTACCAGGGTCTGTGGATGAACTGCGCAGGTAACGCGTTGGGTTCTTTCCATTGCCGACCGCATTTTACTATCTTCAAAGTTGAAGGTAAATATAACGGCTTTGTTTGGGGTAGAGGTAAAATGCACTTTTCCCCTGATGTGCTGGATTAGCTGTACATAGCTGGCTGTTAATTCTCTGAAGACTGAATGCTTAACAAAGTGCCAAGATTTGCCTAGGAAGGATGGGGTGTATGAGTATTGGCTTAAAGAATGACATTATTGCCGGGCGCGGTGGCTCAAGCCTGTAATCCCAGCACTTTGGGAGGCCGAGGCGGGTGGATCACGAGGTCAAGAGATCGAGACCATCCAGGTCAACATGGTGAAACCCCGTCTCTACTAAAAATACAAAAAATCAGCTGGGCATGGTGGTGCGTGCCTGTAATCCCAGCTACTCAGGAGGCTGAGGCAGGAGAATTGCCTGAACTCAGGAGGCGGAGGTTGTGGTGAGCCGAGATCGCGCCATTGCACTCCAGCCTGGGTAACATGCGTGAAACTCCATCTCAAAAAAAAAAAAAAAAAAAGAATGACATTATTTTATTTGACAAATGTAGGATGTAAGAATCACCTTACGGGATTTTTAGAATACCCAGTGTGACTCCAAAGGGAAGAGTGGAAGTGACTGGATTGTTTTAAAAGTCAGTTTCAATTTGCCTTGAGTCATGGAGGAATCTTGATGGGTCATCACCTCTATGTAGGAAAAGCTCTCATTGATTTAAATATGTCTCTTTCTCTCTCTCTCTACACACACACACACACATACACACAGGTATTTATATGTGTATATGTGTACATAGACGTATAACACACAGGTATCTATATGAATATATATACATGTATATATATACACACACATAAATAACACACATATATATGTAATATGCCATTTCTAGACTGGAACTGGCAAATGATGGCAAATTGTAACTGGCTTTTTTTTTGTATATATATATATTATTGCACTTTAGGTTCTGGGGTACATGTGCAGAACATGCAGGATTGTTGCATAGGTACATACGTGGCAATGTGGTTTGCTGCCTCCATTCCCCCGTCACCTATATCTGGCATTTCTCCCCATGTTATTCCTTCCCAACCTTCCTACCCCCGCTGTCCCTCCCCTATTCCCCCCCAACAGACCCCAGTGTGTGATGCTCCTCTGCTGTGTCCATGAGTTCTCATTGTTCAACACCCACCTATGAGTGAGAACATGCTGTGTTAGATTTTCTGTTCTTGTGTCAGTTTGCTGAGAGTGACAATTTCTAGATTCATCCATGTCCCTACAAAGGACATGAACTCATCATTTTTTATGGCTGCATGGTATTCCATGGTGTATATGCGCCACATTTTCCTTGTCCAGTCTACCATTGATGGGCATTTGAGTTGGTTCCACGTCTTTGCTATTGTGAACAGTGCCGCAGTAAACATACGTGTGCATATGTCTTTATTTATTTATTTATTTATTTATTTATTTATTTTTTTAGAAAGAGGAAGAGGAAGAGGGAGAGAGAACAGGGGTGTTGCTTTATTGCCCGGGCTAGAATGCAGTCTAAAACTGGGTATGCCTGTAATTGTGTTTAACAATAGAGACATAAAAAAAAATGAGGGAATAAAATAATTAACAAGCAGCCAACCAATATTTCATTTAAACCTGTAAATACGTGTGATGTAGTACTGATAAGAGTGTATATTTTGTGTATTTAAAGTGGAGAGTTCTATGAATGTTAATTAAGTCTACTTGTTCCAGATCTGAGTTCAAGTCCTGGATATCGATGTTAACATTCTGTCTCATTGATCTATCTAATATTGATGTTGAAGTCTCCCGCTATTATTGTGTGGGGGTCCAAGTCTCTTTGTAAGTCTTATATATCTGGGTATTTCTGTATTGGGTGCATATATGTTTAGGATCTTTAGCTCTTCTTGTTACATTGATCCTTTTATCTTTATGTAATATCCTTCTTTGCTTCTTTTGATCTTTATTGCTTTGAAATCTATTTTATCAGCAAAAATTGCAACTCCTGCTTTCTATTTATTTATTTTAGCTCTCCATTTGGTTGGTAAATTTTTCACCATCCCTTTGTTTCGAGTCTTTATGTATCCTTGCATGTGAGATGGATCTGGATGTAGCATACCAATGGGTCTTGGCTTTTTTTGCCTGTCTGTGTCTTTGGATTGGGGGATTTAGTCGATTTAAATTTAAAATTAATAACAATATATGTGTGTTTGATACTGTCATTTAATGTTAGCTGGCTGTTTTGCCCGTTAGTTGATGCAATTTGCACTCCTACCAACAGTGTAAAAGTGTTCCCATTTCTCCACATCCTCTCCAGCATCTATTGTCTCCAGATTTTTTAATGATCGCCATTCTAACTGGCGTGAGATGGTATCTCAATGTGGTTTTGAAGCCCATCACTTTCACCCTTTTCTTTAGAGTCACATTGGGTATTCTCAAAGGCCCGTGAGGTTATTCACGTCTCCTTACATCTGCTTTGTCCTCGATTCCTGATAACAAAGGAAGGGATTCTATTTTCAGAGAGGTTTTCATGTTTTCTTTTTTTAATGTTCACCACAGCCTAGATATAAAACAAAACAAACAAAACAGAAAACCAAACTGAATGATAAAATAACAGCAAGAAAAATTTGAAAGCAGTTAGGTGAAAGAAAATGTAGTGAACTTTCCCCTTTGGGTACCTTGCTTTATTTATTTATTTTAAAAATACATGGGGCCAGCTTTCATCTTTGTGCATATTAGAGACTGTATTACAAGTGTATGTATTTTAAAGAGGGAACATATATTTTTAAGGACATTTTCATATTCCAGGATATCGTCAGGGAAACAATTGTTATTTGCTTTTATGTCATTGTGAGAATTATTATCTGCCTCTGCTTTCTGTAAATTTGATACATTTACAAATCCGCCACAAGTTAAGGGTTTATTACCTTAAAAATTACTCCTTGTCTTTTGGTAAAATGTAGACTTTTCACAGTCATATAGTAAAACTGTACCTTGGCCCCAGTAAAGAAAATGAAATAAAATTTTAACTAGGAAGTTACTAAAGCATAATGTGTTAGGAGATTTTGTGTCAAGTATGTACGTAATTAGTCTACAGTGAGTGCCAGGGGATAAAGAGAGAATACTTAACTAAATCCAGGAGATTTCAAATGACAATCAAAAGAAATATTCAAGTGTGGATGCCTCAGTTATCCCCAAATAACATGGACTTTCCTAGGTACCTATTTGAGGAATCCATGCTATGTCTCTCTTCAGGCTCAACTTCTCAACTTCTTTTGAGGCCTTTCAACATTGCTCCTTCTGCTACAGAACATTGCCCTAGAAATGGGGGAATTTTTTAAAGAAAGAGTGTGTGTGGAGACCCTGTTGTCACTGTGTGCACCTCTTATCATCATTCTTTCTCCAGGGGCCCCTCTTGGCCCTTTTTCACCTTAGGAAGCAGGTAGAAGAGATGGCATGTGGTAAGTCTGTTTTTAACTGGGTTCATCTTTTATTTGTTCAATTATTATATATATATATTTTTGAGATGTGGGTCTCCCTATGTTGCTGAGGTTGGTCTCGAACTCCTGAGCTCAAGAGGTTCACCTGCTTCTGTCTCCCAAAATGCTGAGATTATAGACCTGAGCCATCGTGACCAGCCTCATCTTAAAAAAAAAAATTACCTTAATATGTTTCATTCTATATTTCTTAATGAAACCCAGTTATTGGGGAAAATATGTGTTCAACTTTAGCTTCCAAGTAGGCTAAAGAACCATGGTACATTTCTACATGACTTCAACTCACTACATCCCCAAATACATCATCAGAGAGTTAGGAATTTTATTACTAGTATTTATGGTGTTTCTGATATCTCCCACCCTTAAAACTTTTTTATTTTTTATTTATTGTTTTTGAGTCAGAGCCTTACTTTGTTACCCAGGCTGGAGTGTAGTGGTGCAATCTCAGCTCACTGCAACCTCCACCTCCCAGGCTCAAGTGATCCTCTCACCTCAGCCTCCCAAGTAGCTGGGAGAACAGGCGCATGCAACCACACTTGGCTAATTTTTAAAGGTTTTTGTAGAGATGAGGTCTCATTATGTTACCTAGGCTGGTCTTGAACTCCTGGACTCAAGCAATCCTATTGCCTTGGCCTCCTAACGCGCTAGGATTATAAGCATGAGCCACCATGCCTGGCCAAAACTTTATTTTTAAAGTTAATTTTGCTTATTGATTGTAAAAATAATTTATTCTACATATGCTATGTACACTGCACATAGGAGGTAATTTGAAAAATCTCATCCGCTGACGGTGCTTCCCTTAGAACAAGTACAATTAAATTGATATAATCTCTACCTTCTTCATCCTGAGTCAAAATCTTTATAAATGATACACTTTGCTGCAGAAATCTATTTTCAATGTTGTAAGCACTGATTCAAATTTCCAAAGGAGACAGGGATTCACACAGTTGGATTTCCTTTCCCATGGAGCCATTGCAGGTTGCTTTTCTTTGATTCCTACTTGGGGACATAACAGTGAGGGAATCAGAAAAGCTATCTATGCCAGTAATCTCTCAAACATCACAGTAGTTACAAACCGAGGAAAGAATTCTGAGGTCAATGAATAATAAAAATTGTTGTATCACCTTTTAAAATAATAAACTATTTAAGCCTGCATTGTCAATTTAAGACAAATCGTCTTAGACTTAGGCCAGATTAAACCTCCTCTAAGAAGGAAAAGCAGGAAGCAGGTTTCTAAGCTGTTGGGGTTGTATTCTTTCTTCTTACTGATTATATATCTTCATTGCTGGAGTCATGCCTTCTCATAGCTAACCCTCTTGAATGTTCCAGTGTAGCCACAGCTTTTTAGGGCTTCATTTGGATTAATACTGACTACATCCCTTAAAAACTTGATGTAAGTAAACAGCTCTTTGGGTGAGCAGCATTTATAGCTATTGTAAAGAAATATAGAGGCCACCTTCAATTGTCATTTTGTGAAATAAACCGTAAGGACACCTGCAATTAAATTCTTACTGGAGCCTGAAAGCTTGATTAAAATCCAAAACC